CATGTTATTAACTTAAAGGCTAGAATTAAAATACAACAAATACGTTTTCCTACAAATCTACAAATACTCTATCCCATTCAACCATTTTCTATAACCACTTGTCCTATTCAGGGTGACAGGGAAGCTACAGGTGCAAGGCAGGGAACAACCCAGGATGGGGCGCCAACCCATCACAGGGCACACTCACACACCATGTACTCACACATGCAAGGCAGGGAACAACCAAGGATGGGGTACCAACTCATCACAGGGCACACTCACACACCGTGAACAATGAATCTTCCACACGCACTAAAGCCAAATATGTTGTCCCACAGGGATAAGTGCTGGGCCTGCTACTTTTCACTTTATTTATGCTATCACTTAGTAGCATCATTACAAATCATGGTGTTGGATTTCATTGTTATGCTGATGATGCACAGATAAATACAGTGGTACCTCACTTCTCAAACTCATTAGAACTCAAATTTCTTAAAAGTCGAACCAACCAGTTCGAAAAAAGAAGACCTAGAACTAGATCTGAATCTCAGAAGTCAAACCGTGAACGCCGACCTTAGATAACTTGTACACGCGGGGAAATGAGTCACGCAGCATGCCTCTCAGCAGAAACAAAGGGTAACGCTTCAGTCTCAGCCTCGCATTAGCTGTGATAGCACCGTGCATGTTTACACTAGCTGAATACATATATTTAGACAGTAAAAATACATTTAGACAATGATAGACAGTAACAGTAATTATTATTATATAATAAAATACATTTAAAAATAAAGATTTCTTATTATTTTAATATTTTAATATTAATAATAAACCATGAATACATTTAATTATAATAAGATCATAATAATAACATCGTGCGGAGCGGGGACGGAACGGAGTCAAAGGCGCAGACATCAGGGTATCGGGAAATACGGGGTTTACAGGTAAGGCAGACAAAACGCAGAGGGACTGGGGAAACAAACTGAAACGCGGACTAAATACAGAGGACTAATGACAACAACCAGAAACAGCTGATCACACAGGGATTCCACACGGGGCTAACAAGGGGGCGTGGCAAACAGAAGGAGCGGACGATCGGGGCAGGACACATTGTTTTTTTTAACTTTACACATTGTTTGGATACATTTATTTTCTTACTTTACAAATTACTGTTTTGATAGATGTGTTTAGTACAGTATATGCTCTTCTTGTTTTATCCGGTTCATTTTGTGTTTAAATGCTAAAAAAACATATTTAGGTGTAATGTTTTGGGGCCGGGAACCAATTAATTGGTTTTCCATTATTTCTTACGGGGAAAATTCAATCAGAACTCGAACTTTTTAGGATTCAAACCCGAGTTCTGAACGGATTAAGTTTGAGTTCTGAGGTACCACTGTATATCTGTTAAACAAGATGACGCATGACAGTTCTCTGGGTGCTGGATGGCAAAAAAATTCTTTATGTTAAACACAGAAAAAAAACAGAAGTACTACTGGTTGGACCTTAGGTTTCTCAAAATATGGTTGACAACCTCAACCTTGGTGGTTTTTCTACTCAGCTTAACTTAGCGGTCAGAGATCTTGGTGTTCTGGTTGATTCATATTACGTTTCAATGCACACACGTCATTACCGTTACACCGTGTTTATCACGACACCGAAGAGGCAAGGGCTGGGAGGGGCAGTCTACCCACCTACCACCTAAACTTTACTACCCTTTTTAAAAAGTGTGGATAAACAAAAACAGTTAAAGCAACTAACAGAAAACTGCTCTCCTTCAGGCTCTGATGAAAACTGCAGTACTATAAAATTAAGCAGTTTCATTAGCCCTGGGGTTCCTGTGAGACTCACCGCCATTAATTTAACATTATTTCATTTCTGGGAGGTCACACGTAGCCAGGAGAAAAACACAGATGCAGAAACAAGATCCTTCATGTTTTATTTGCACATGTAGGGTTACAGGTAAACAGATATGTCATCTTGCTCTATATTTGAGACGCACACTCACACGCATGCATGCACATACACAGCCAAGGGCAAGATTTGGCATCAGAGTGCAGGGTCAGCCGTCATCTGGCAACACTGGAAGCACTGATGTTAAGAGCCTTGCTCGAAGGCCCAAGGGTGATGTGATTACTTTGCCAATTAACTTGCAGAAAAAAGCATAGGTTCGTAAACCACTGGCCTACACACTCCCCCATTTGGTTATATAATTAGGGCAGGAGACAGAACTGCCCACCAAATAATGCGGAACAGTGGACAAACTCACCAGAAGGAAATGCCGCAGGACGTAGGTGACTTTGCCCTCATCCGCCTTTTCTGACAGCAGCTTGTGGAGAGTATTAAACTTCTTGGTGCCAATTTCAGCATAAAGGATGGCGATGGGGACATCGGTGGTGTTAACACCAGGGTATCTGTGATCATTCCTGTACAGGTAAGGTCTAGGTCTGCAGACAAAGGATCACTTAATCAGACTGAGAAACACAGCAGAGAGGACAATGACCCATTAATAAGTACAAAAACAGCCTGGAAAATTTTTTACATACATCTAATATGAGGCCTAACCCTAACCCCAAATCAAGCCCAAACTTGAATACCAACTCTGCCCCTAACCCTAAATTTAACCCTGACTCCACTCATAACCCTAACCCTAACCCTAACCCTATCACTCCTGACAGCCCAACACCAAACCCTACCTTTAACCATCACCTCGGCCTAATGCTAATTCAAACTGTTTTAAAAGTAGAGCTTGTGTTTTTCTTGAAATCCTCAGCCACAGCATTTACAAAGGGTGGCCATATCTCACACCTGGGAAGCAAGACACGAGCAGAGTGGGTTACCTGCCTGCTGCTGTCTTCAGGAGCTTCTTCACCTCCTTACTGCTGCAGGCAACATTGCCGTGGATGGAGACAAAAGCTGAGCATCCTTCTGGTGGTGGCTCGTTACTGGCAATCTGTGAGGGGTGGAGGCCAGACCAAGTGGGTTGCCAGACTCCTCACCTCAGAAGCCCATAAGCTTCAAAAATATAACTCAGAAAACCAATGGCGATAATCTCAGGTTGACTATAGGCTGAATGATACTACATCCTACATAATGACAGAGCACAGGCAAAATTATTTCTTGGGGCAAAAAAACACAGCAGCAGAGGTACAGGCAGTCCTACCTGCTGAAAGGCATGGACGGCAGGTGAAAAGGCTCTCAGAGACAGGGCAAACTTTAGAAAGCTGACCTGAAGGTCTGTCAAAAACTGACCAGCTTTCTTGATGATTAGATTGTAGTAAGAGCGAACGGACTCTAAAAAAACAGAAAGAAGTGCATGTGGATTACCAAATTCACCTGCAACGATGTATAACAAACTGCCTGACTCTTTCAAAGTCTCATTTAAAATTATTCATCTTATTATTTTCATTTCTAAAATTCTCAGTTCAGCAGCTGGTTTTAACTCATACTAACATTTGTTATTACAGATGTTTCAAATAAAATCTTCCCTTAGAATCAGAGCATCTGAAACTGAAACAGAGGCAACTGAAAGGAAACAGCCTGAAGGCTTTTCTAACCAAGATCACTAGCGATGTGCTATACTGTAGCAGTGCATTACAGCATACAGTAACATTATCACTAGCGATGTGCTATACTACAGCAGTGCATTACAGCACACAGTAACATTATCACTAGCGATGTGCTATACTGCAGCAGTGCATTACAGCACACAGTAACATTATCACTAGCGATGTGCTATACTGCAGCAGTGCATTACAGCACACAGAAACATTATCACTAGCGATGTGCTATACTACAGCACTGCATTACAGCACACAGTAACATTATCGCTAGCGATGTGCTATACTGTAGCAGTGCATTACAGCACACAGTAACATTATCACCAGCGATGTGCTATACTGCAGCAGTACATTACAGCATACAGTAACATTATCACTAGCGATGTGCTATACTGTAGCAGTGCATTACAGCACACAGTAACATTATCACCAGCGATGTGCTATACTGCAGCAGTGCATTACAGCATACAGTAACATTATCACTAGCGATGTGCTATACTGTAGCAGTGCATTACAGCACACAGTAACATTATCACCAGCGATGTGCTATACTGCAGCAGTACATTACAGCATACAGTAACATTATCACTAGCGATGTGCTATACTGTAGCAGTGCATTACAGCATACAGTAACATTATCACCAGCGATGTGCTATACTGCAGCAGTGCATTACAGCATACAGTAACATTATCACTAGCGATGTGCTATACTGCAGCAGTGCATTACAGCATAGAGTAACATTATGAAGGAACAAACTGCCTGAAAAAACCTCAAAACTGAATGAAACTTACCACCGTTCTTGTACACGGTCAATTCCTTCACGGTATCAACAAACTGCCAGAATTTCTCATCACTCTCCACAGAAATAAATTCACTATGCAAGACGAAAACCAAACTTTAACAAATGCAGACAATATGGACATATTATTGTAAAAAAAACATAGTGGTATAATAAAAGTATACACCAATAAAGAGTAGCAATACTCTTAGCAAGTCAATAGTATACAGTTTTCCACCTCATCAATGATTGCAGGGTTTCATTTTTTAAGGTGACAAATATACCAATACAGTTCAAAGATGCACCATGCCTGGTCTCAAGCAGAAAGGGCGTCATTGGCCACTTGGCATTGAGGCTGGCGGTCACTCCTTTGGCAGCGGCATGGGCATGATAAAACGTCAGTTGGAGCAGCAGCAGGAGTACCGTGCAGCTTCTCCTCTTATACAGCTGGACATAATAATAATGACGACGACAATAACAACAACAATTACACACAGGGATTACCTTGCAAGGCAGCCGGAAAACTATTGACACAAGGAAATGGACGCTACTGACAGCACCGCGACCGCAATTATGTAGTCATCATTTTTTGGGGACATAGAAACACATTTCTTTAAAATGCCACCGGAAAGGCAATGGAAAAATGTAAAAAAAAATAATAATAAGTGACATCACTGTAACCGACACTACAAAGGTACAAATAAACATGGCAATAAGTGGATACTGTCGATGCCACGTAGCAATCCATGGACAGGAGGCGTCTGATATAAATCATCCAAGCTTTGACGACTTGTATTTTTCATTCATGTCAAGCAAATTCAGAAAGTGATTTATGATGTACTGCATATAAATTAGCAAATTAAACATTTCCAATACTTTAAAATGCTTTAGTTAATCAGCTACTCTGTTATGTTCGTTCGACTGGGTTAGTTTCTCGTCAGGTTTAGTTATGCGACAAAGAAAATGTGACGAGATTTAGTACAAAACAGGATGTAATACCAGAAGAACAAACCTTTAATCTTAATAAATACCCGTTACCTCAATACTACCCTTACAGATTTGATAAATTACAGAAAAAAAAAATCACTCACTTCAGTCACACTGGCCGCTGCCATTTTAGGGTCCTTGTGCTTTTTTCTGCCTACCTTCTCATTTTTTAAATTACAAGCACGTAAACGTTTTTGTTGTGAATGCGTATACTGCACATTTTGCATAACTAGGAAGATAAAAAATAGTTAATATGTTACTGGGAGCCATATAATTTTAGCCGTTTGTAGTTAATTACAGTTACTGTGTTTTTCAGGCATTTATACGGGCAGCTAACGGATCGGCTCCGGCTCACCTCCTCTGCGCAGAACCGCTTTTCGGGAAAAGGCACTTCGTATTTCTTTCGTTCCTAGACCACGTACATATTTTCTGTCACTGTGTCCAGTTATGACGGAAAGGAAAGTTGACTGACAGAATCCAATAGCAGAAACATAATTTTATATTGAAAAATAAAAAAAAACGATACATTACAATGTGTTTTAAGGATCTTTATAAGTGCTTGTTTTGACTAAAACATTTTTCATTTTGAAATCCATATTGCGTATTGAAAAACAACGTACACCGATTCCCATTTGTAAGCTGCATCTATATCTGCATGGGAGCGGTGTACTGCAAAAAAACAAACTTTTGAAATAAAGGTATAGACTGCAAACCTACTTATAAAAGTACTACTACGTACGGAATATACGGAAAATAACTGAAGATTTTCACCAACCCCGAGGGGTTCCAGAAATATCCCCGTACACCCCCTACTACACTGAGAACAGACTCAAAGAGCGGTCTGAACACCAATTACAGAAATCAGTGTTTTCTTTTCAGTGTCACGGATGTAATGCTTGACAGGTGGGAATGTCTCACAGCCATCTGTCCAGTCTAACCTTGTTAACGGGTGTTTATGTTTTGTGCATCCAAAGAACAGCATTCATTGTTTTCATTCTGTCGTCTATGATCTGTCCATGGTGCTGATACTATCGATTGTTAATGTAAATTATATTAATTATTAGATTAAATTAATAATCTTGATGTTATACCTATTTTTCTATCATATATTGGTCACATACTTAAAAGCAATCCAGATAAATCACTCAGCAAACTTGTGACCAGCGTATCCTGTCGTTGGTAACACTCACTGGGCGCTGTCTTCTTTTATTCTAATTTCTATCGATCGAGCGGTCTTACGGTACCTCGCTGTTATTTCCATCACGATTCTTGTGAGCAATGTCAGTGCAGCTCGAATGCTTCTTCAATTGCATGCGCTTCGAGCTGCATCAGCTGCGCTGCGATTCACTTTAGATTAAACACGCTATATGAGTGCGACAGTCCGCAGGTTTGTGCTGATTATTGGGCAGGCGGAACCGGGTGAGCACGTCGTGAAACGGCTTTTCACGCTTCTCGAAGCACTGCAGGTACTCATCAGGAGGATGTACGGGTTGTACATGTCACATATAATTTCATTCGCTTCTCGTTTTTCCGGATCAGTCATTTGTAATTAAAGAATTAAAGAATATAAGAAGTGATTAAAGAATATTCTCAAACTCTGCAGACTTGAGAGGCTACGTGGCCACGAAATAGGAATACGGATTTGGGAAGACACCGCAGTTTCTCGGATGTCAGAAGTTTGTCATTTAATATATAAATAAGCGTAACACGGTGGATGTGAAATAGTTTTTTTAAAATAGTGCTTTTTTCCCGCAGCATCGAGCTATTATTATATTGAATGCTTTCCTCAGGTGTAAACTCATATCTGTCAAGTTAGCCAAACAGTGAAGGAAGTAGCCTAACGCAGTCATGTAGTTTGGCTTAGATTTGCCTTTTGATTCTTTGTCGTCGCAAACACATCAGACTGCTGACCAAACAGCATCTGAAAAGGACTTCAGCTTGTGTGGAATACCCGGTGATTTCGATTCAGTGTCACAAAAATAGTTAAAGGCTATATTTTGCATACAGCTCTGTGCTGATTGTTTAGAGATATCACTTTTTTTCACAAGACAATGGCATTATCTGGTATCATGGATAACAAAATCAATAAAGTGTTCCTGATCCCAATTTTAGCTGTTCTTCTTTTTATGATCGGCTATCAGTATATTTGCCTAGCCGGTAGTAACTTGTGCCAATTCAGGGTTGGGGAAAAATTTGCAAAAAGCCGCCTTAAGTCGACCCAGTATTCGCCGAGTGACGGCTTCTACAGGGACCAGGACCTGGAGGATGAATACCCTCCTAAATTTCTGCCAAAATTTAATTTCTCCGATAGGGACCTTCTGCGGCACGTGGAATTTAACATCAAGGGGGACGACGTGATCGTGTTTTTGCATATTCAAAAGACGGGCGGGACCACATTTGGAAGGCACCTGGTTAGGAATATTCGCCTGGAAAAGCCATGCGATTGCAAGCCTGGGCAGAAGAGGTGTACCTGCCGTCGGCCGGGTAAAAAGGAGTCCTGGCTCTTCTATAGGTTTTCAACCGGCTGGAGCTGCGGGCTGCATGCGGACTGGACCGAGCTAACCAACTGCGTTCCTGCCATTATGGAAAAGAAAGAAGCCCAAAAGAATAGAAGGTAAGTGTGCCATGCCACTTATTATATTCACGCATAAATCGTTTAATTTTATCTTCTTACGGACAGCTGGTATGAATGGCAGGAATGCTTTATTCCTCTTTCGCATTACCGTGTGAAAAGTGATGTTTAGATCTGAAGCAATACTGATTTACAAATGATATTATAGAGTGAACGTTAAAAAGCATTTAGGGAATCGATTACCGCCTTTCCAATCACGTTGTTTTCTGTTTACTAATTGAAATGTCGATCCTACCAGCTACTACGCGTCCTTATATACTGTAAAGCAGGTGTTCCGGGCAATTCGGTTTCCCTATGTTTCCCCTGTCTATCAGGAAATAATGATTCCCCTAATATTAAAGCAAAGAGGTATGTGAAATGTCTGAAAATCACTCAGGTAGGCTACATTATTACATGTGAATACTGTATTGTTATTAGTACCGAGGCCCAGAGTTGCTGTATACCTGTTTTAACAGGGGGGAACCAAATATCCTGGATGTCAGGAAATAGTTTCTCCTAATATTTAGGCAAATATGTATGTGAGATGTCTGAAAATCACTCAGGTACATTATTACATGTGAATACAGTAGATCGTCACGCATATATAATATAGTCTTATAAGCAATATTATACCGTTTTCAACAAGAAATATCTATATCCAGCAAATTAAATACTTTCATTTATTATCTGTAAAAACAAAAAACATCGGCATGTGATGTTTTAAAATATATGACTTAATTGTTTACCTCAAGAGCTTCGTAAAAAGACATGAAAACAACAGCGAAACCGTGTACAAATCAGCGCGCCACAGGGGAAACAGGGAAACCGAATTGCCCGGCCCGAAGTTAGTCGAATGAAAGGAATGTTTCATTGATTTCTACAAAAACAAATGGCGGCTCGTTCAGGAATAGTTGAATATTACTTAAAAGGTTAATTGTCCAGTTTCGATTTATTACTTGAAAGAACATATTATGCTCTGATCAATATATAATATTAACTTATAAATATATAGGCTACAGGTAATTTTTTTAAATGATTTTTTAAATTGTAGGCGAATGGTGGAGCACAAGGCAATTTATTGCTAAAGTTTCACGGTACCGAGTATTTATAATAGCAATTGTTAGTTTCATTAATATCAGTAGGCCTATTTCAATGGTTGTTTTAGAAAGTCACTCTGTACCTGTATGCTATTTGGAAGAGACGACCAGCAGAGCGATTAACTATGATGATTCCTGACATCACGGTTCACAATTTATCACTCTCTGATTTGATGTTAGAATGTCATTACAGAAGATGGAAGATCTCAAATAAACATTATCGATGATAACAAGAAACATTTAACAATTGCCAGTATATAAAATATAGCTATGTAAGATCGTACCATACCCTATAATATTACAAGTATTATTACTATATTAAATAATATTATTATAGTAATATTACTACTTCCAGAGTCAAACAAACCCGATGTGATGCGTAGTTTTCCCTACCAACAAGCGACCATTGACTTAAATGCGACGATCCGACGTTTTGACGAGCAACGATTTGTAACACCGCGACGGTCCGACGTTTTCGCAAATAATGTAATGGAACGCGATCCGATTGCGACCATTCGCCGTTCTATGGGACGTATTGCCTACAATCTGTGCTGACAGGGATATGTTCCGCCACAAACATTCGCCGCATGTTTAAGGGCTATGGTGTCACGGCCTGCTCCGTCCGCTCCCGATGTGTGCCACGCCCCCTCATTATCCACGTGTGCTTCCCCGATCGTGCCCAGCTGTTCCTTGTTATTGTGGCTTGTCTTCTGTATTTAGTCCGCGTCTGAGTACGTTACCCCAGATCCGTCATTAATGTTAGTCGGTGTATTGTCCGTACCTGTCCGTCTGTCGTAGAATAAACCCCATTTACCTGACTTCCTGGCTGCTTTCGCCTGCTTCCCTGCTCGCCTTACGCCCGAACGTGACATATGGAATGGGCAACAGTAAGTGTGCATTTAAGAGAACAGTATTCAGGCAAAAATTATTAATGAAGGGAAAAAAAAACTGCCGGCATTCTTCCAAATGTATTTTCCGAAATTAAAAAATGTGTTCAGTGTGTTATATCATTAGCAAAACGTCAAAAAAAAGTATACTTATATTAATAAAACATGAATTAGGAGTTGTAGAAATACTTCCAAAGGAGTTTAAATGAAATTGATTTATTGTGTCATGGTTCCGGGCGGCTCGGGTGCGAGAACGTGGCATGACATAGGCACAAAATAGGTGGACGACCCACTGGCGGCTCCAAGAAAAACAAACAGGGTTTCTTTTACTGAACTAAAAACACAAGAAAGGACTAACAAAAACAATGGACCACGGGGGGTCAAAAGTAAACAAAGACTACTACAAAAACAGGGCAGGTAACATCTAACACAGGGAATACTATACTCAAGCACAAATAGTCGAACCTTCACAATAAACCTTCTACCATCAACCGACAATGAACCACTGGGAAACTAAACAGAAGCAGGAACTAAAATACTAAAGGGTTAACGAGACTAACACAGGACAAGTGAGGCTAATTAACAAAGACCAGGAACACAGGGAACAGATGAAACTACTAAACTCAAAGGAACTAAAAACATGGAAACTAAGAACTAACCAAGGAAACAGAAACTAACACTGGGGAATTACAGACAGGTAAAGACACAAGCAGTGTGAACAATGACCACAGGCAACCACATGCTCAATGCATTGAGCCATATGGCCAGACAGGCACAGACTTAGCACAAAGGACGGGATGACCAGCAATGCCTGCTGGCCAAACGGGGAAGGGACACAGAGTGAGACAACAGGGGCTGACCCTGACATTATCGTAAAATGCAGTTTATCATTTTTAGCCAAATTGATTTTGGTTTGGAAAGGACTGAAATAATGGCAGCTCTGCAGGAGAAGGTTTCTGGAAATTGGAGATGAAATCTCCATCTACTATTCCCCCCCATCCCTGGCTAAATGTTATGATTGACGACAATAGGCAGCACAGGACCTGCAGAAACAAAGATGATACATTATCTTACTACAATGTAGCCTTCCATGACCACTTCAGTCTTATTATTTCAGTTGAATAGCTGTTGAATCTGAAGTATCTGTCAACATAATAAATAATAGTGGTTTTGCAAGCTTAAGCAGGGTATGGCAATATGAATGAAACCTAGCTGTGCCCATGGTCAAATTCTCTGCCATTCAAGTGAAAAATACAAAACTTATCTTAGTCCTCAGAAGTCTGTCAAGAAACATCAATAATTCATCTACAGACAGGAAATGGTGGACAGAGAAGAAACAGCAGCTGACCTTGAGGAAGATTCAGGTCCATATCTGAACATAGCTATTCAGATATTTCTGCTGTAGTGTGGAATTTAAGTCCAGTGAATGATGCTAAGCCTGTAGAAGTCATTAGTAAGAGGTCACTGAGAGTACTATGTACCTCTACAGAATTCTCAGTGGACGAGGCTCCCTCGAGCTCAGCAAACAGTGACAATGACGTTTGGTATTCTTAAAGGACTGTCGTGCAAAGACACGTTGGTCACACACTTAAGTCCCAGGCAGTGTGTACCTGTCCGGGTGTACAACATATCGAGGTAAACGGACAAGGGCTGTGACTACATTGCTGTTGGCGCTGATTCAGGAACACAAGAGCGCAAATGAAAAACATACTCTAACGCAGACTTAAATACACAGGAATAATGAAAACAACTCAAAACAGCAGATGACACGGGGGTTCAAGTCCAGGTGTTGCTTTTTAATCTTCCTTAGAGAAAGTGAGCAGTCCCTGGCAATAAAATTTACCAACCAATAAAATCATCAATTGATTGCTGAAGATAAAATTTACAGAGCAGAATGTTGACAAGTTAGGGGGGGGGGTCACAGAGGCCACAGAGTGGGAGGATTGATCAAATGGTCCATATCAGAGTCCACCATTACCCCTGATATAGTCAGTAGGAGTGAAGTTACACAGAACAGCTTAGGGGGGTGGTGAGGGGGTGCTGTATACTGGAAAGGGGTGGTTTTTTCATTTTTTCCCACATAGGGGTTGACATCCATGTGCGTCACTGGGGTGGAGCATAAAAGAGTTATAGTAGAACATATAGCTTCCAGACAGAATGAATCAGGTTTTCTTAGTGCAGGCAGGCCCAGGCATATTTATGTGTAGGTACAGTATCAGAGCATAGTGTTTTTCTGGGGGAGGATTTCATGACCTTTGGTTTAAGGAGCATTTTAAGGAAGCTAGAGATGTGAATGATGGGCTCGTCTATTCGCTGCTCACTGACAGGGGGCATTTCTGCCGACAGCCCCCGGTGTCAGCAAGCAGTCACACCAACTAGGACAGAGTGGTAATTAGCGGAACTCTTGCGCCAAACTGGGCGCTTTGCACGTTTTTTTCCTCCAAGGTGGCTGGGGCATCTCAGCCAGCAGCTGCATACCTGGTGTCCAGGGATTTAACTCAATCTCCCACCACTGCGCTGAGTGACTCACACTGCAGAAAATAGCTGTCAGCTGATGAGAGCATGAACAGGGAGCGAGGCCTTCTGCATCACTGCTTCCTGTGGAGTGCAAAGTCAGGGGAAACTTTGTAGGTAGATACAGATTCAGCTGGGGGGGGGGGGCATTGGGGAGGATGAATAAACAAAATGTGAATTAAAATAAAGATTCCGATATGACGGACACTAGACTTTTCCTACTTCATATTGCTTATGGATTATGCTTGAGTGATTACATGTTTCTAAGTAATCTCTCTAAGTTTCTTTAAGTTCTAAGTTTTTAATCTTCCCATAAGTATTAGTTGATGCTGGAAGTGACTATCAGGAGTGTTTTTGTCTGAGCATTGCAGTGCAGAGAGGAGCATGGGGTGTCAATTTTTAATCCCCTGCGGTCCATCTGGCTCCAGCTCGGCGGTCGCCTCCGGTGCCTCCAGCGGCATCTCGTCAGCCGCCTTCGGTGCTGCCTCCAGCGTTTCAGTAGTCG